TATCAGGGCATATGTTAAAAAGAAGCTGTCCTAATCTCAGATGAAGCAGCCAAAGAAACGTCAATGAGTGCCACAGGCGCGTTTCACTGCTTTTCATAGGCCTTGCAATAAAAGCTAAACAGTTTTAAGTGGCTTTTGCAATTATACTTCCTTTCAATTTTCCAAAGGTTACAGGGCCTGCACCACACAAATCCCATTAAAGTAAGTAGCTGTTGTGCAATATAAGTGCCTTTGGAAACATTCTTCGATGCCCATAAAATGATCAGCGGGCTGCAATGTGGATCCGCTCGCCTGCCATGTTTTCAACCAAAAGGCGGATGAGGAGCTTTGATGTGGTGGTTGGTTTCTGCTACTGAAGCTGGAGTTTTATCTTCTTGCATCAGATTTCTTCCCAAATTGATGTGACTCAGGCATTGGAAACACATTTTTTTTTTCTGATTTGATTTTATTTCTGAAATATATTCTTACCGTACCGTTAAATTATGCTAGGGTGATCACGGATTTGGGATCTCCGAGTTCCTCCCACAGGACCCAGCAGAAGCAGGCCGGGACTGCTGGGGTTAACGGAAGCCTGCACAGAGAGCGAGGCCTTAGTGCATAGGGCTCCCACACGCTGCCTGGTCCCCACAGTGTGACCAGGTGTCACTAGTGCCTTCTCCACCCTCCTCCTGGGCCACCTCAGCAGCCCCAGGAGGAGTCCAGAGCAAGCCTTGTGCTGGAGCGGTGCTAGAGCCCCTGTTCCTTCATGTCCCATCTGAAGGCACATGGGGACTCTACCTTGGGCTTCTTTCCTTGAGAAGAGCCTCACGTGTGTGCTGATCCCCAGGAAACACCGCCCTCTCCAACATTTTGCTTAAATGATTCATTTATTCTGTAGTTGTTTTTCACATAAGGGATAAAAGTGAAGTCTCATTCCTGCGTCTATACAGGAAGAGGATCTCAAAGCTTCCCATCTCTAAATCTGATACCCAAACTATCTGAAGAAAGAACACTGTAGAAAGTTTATTTTCCCTCTGCAGTTAAAGTCATGTAGACACAAAGACAATACCAGCCTAGTTATTGTCTTTGCACTATTAAAAAGAATAATCAGAATTCAGAAATCACACACCCTTTAAGATTTTGGATGAATTACTCACGTTCTAATACTTTGAGCTAATTCTACACCAGAATACCACTCTAACATTTCCAACTTTGTCATTTGATTTGTCAAGGGTCCCCATATTTTTTCGATAGGAATACCTGGATGCATTAAGGTGACAGGACATTTACATAAAATGATTTAAAAAAGTTTTTGATGAGATACTAATGTATGTGAGTATATATATGAATATCATGTGTGTGTGTATATAAATGTGTGTACACATATATATTATATGAATTCAGACATGGGGGAGGTCAATATGGACTGGAGCTATCCAGAAAGTCTTACAGAGGAGGTAGGATTTGAGATGTGTCTCAGGAAACAGATTTTGGACCTTATCTGAAAATGAAGAAGTGAGAATGTGTTCATGGGGAGAGAGTAGAGATGGATGTGCACTCCTGTGCTACGCTGACCCTGCACGTGCTCATGGAGGCCCTTGGGGAAAATGCAGGAACACTGGACTGGATTGAAATGGCTGTCCTAGCCCTTGCCTGTGTAATGGCTGTTGTGGTGGGAATGACGTGATACACGCTGATCTTCTTTCTTAGATATAATTAGTATGGAAAGCTCTGCCTGGGTGGCAGCTCCTATCTTACTCTGGATGCTTCATTATTTCTCTCTTACACAACACGGGTATTGTAATTTGTTCTTAAGAGTAGAATAGAGGTAATTTGGTGAGGCCCTAAGCAACTTGGCGAGAACCTGTCTCAAAATAAAAAAGGGCTGGGGATATGATATGATTCAGTGGTAGAGTCCCTGGATTCAGTCCCCAATATGAGGGGATAGGGAGGGAGAAGACTGGCAATACTTGCATATTTGCAATTAATTTAGACCAATAAAATTATAAAATCTGCAAGTACTTTGGATTTGAAACATCATGATTTTGATAAAAACACATTTACTCTGAGGCTTGGTGCATCCCAACCAACAAAGAATGAGATGCATCTAATGTCCCATCAGAGTCACTCTCCCTGGACAGTGTGGAGTCACCCCTCACTGTAGCTGTTTTCACAAGATGATCCTCCTGCCATGACGAAAGTACACTGTCCACTCCCTGATCCTCAGCCAGGGCCAGGAACCCGAGAGCTGTGTCTACCCAGGCCCTTCAGGTGCCTGTATTTGTAAACTTGTGCAGTTTCTGTTTCCCCACAGGCTGGTGCAGATGCTGTTCTGTGCTCAGGACAGGATCCGACCAGGTCTGCGAGACAAGGAGCGAGCGAAGGGCAGCCGCTGCAGCGCTCCCTGTTGCCCGCCCGTCGTCTCTTCCTATTATACTTCCACTTAGAAGGACATTTGCCAGATCCAGACTCCAGGGACCCCTGTTATTTGCGTGTCTTTTCTCACCTTCAACATGATCTGGTCTGATGTTTTCATTTGTTAAAAACAACAAGAACGTTCACTGGGAAACTTCTGCTGGCCTGGTTTCAAGTCATCATAGCTATTTATTCCCTGTCATAAACTGTGATTCCCCGTTTCCCTTACTCCCACGTCAGGGGAGTTGGTGGTTTATGGTGGACGGTCAGTGGAATTTGAAAGAACAGTGGAAGATTTCAAAAAACTACTGGGGGATTACATAGCAGGTTGTAGCACTGAGAACAAAACATAAAGTATTCTTGCTCTTGATTGTAGTTTGGCAACACAAGAAGAAACTTAGGAAGACTTAGGAATCAGCATAAAGGATTTAGGGTTTAAGGTTCTACCTGAGAAAGAATTTTATATGAGGGAAGAAAAGAAATCATGGTATTGACTTAACAAATGATTCCTTTATGTGATTAAAAATAAAAGCTTAGGTATAGTTAGTCTCAGTGGGAAAAACATGGAAGTCAAGGATATTTTGCAGAGTCTTGTTTATTGGGAGCAGGTGTCAGTACTTGCAGAGCCCTGGAAGAGCCAAGGAGATCTGAAGTCCAAGCCATATAGCACTGTGGACAGAGTCTATGAGAAGGAAATGTAAAGACACATACTTCCAAACATGGAGCTGAGCAAGAGGAGACACATGTAAGACAACGGCTAAAAGGTTTTTGATCCTCAGTGTCTGAATTCCATAAACTACTTTTACTACTAGCTAAATAGTGGGATAATCAGTGACGTTGGTTGGAGTATTCTAGGTTCTGCATAGACTCCAGAAATTGGGATTAAATTGGCTTCATTCTCAAGATGTGGCTGATCTGATATTCTCACTGAGTGGCAGAGGTGCCATCGAGGCAGGCTTCTCGGGGAGGTCCCTCAAGTGTGAAAAACCAGAGGGGACCAACTGGGCACACCCAGGAAGCACAGAGAATTTGCTACAGGAATCTGGGTGAGATCATACAAACTCTGGTACAAAGACAGTTTTCTAAGGACAAGAGAAGTTTCATGTCTTCCCTGAAAACACATTCAACAACCATTTATGCATGGGGGTGCTCTAACTAACTGAGGAAACGCCAGGCTCCCCTACTTGGAGCTCCAGGGCTTCCTGGAGAGACAGCTCTGCACAGAAGGCCTTGGAGGCCTGGCTCTCTTGGACTTGAGCTGCACTTTGGATCCAAATGCGAATCCAGAACATGCTCACTTTGTAACAAGAGTGTTAGAGCGAGGCGGCTGTTCTGTTCTTTGGACATTGTGGTTGGTGCTGGTAGTTTTGTTGAGAGTGTTCTGCGGTTAAAATCACAGGTCAAGAGGCTATACACGTTAAAAATAAATAGGTGAGAGCTGCTTTCTGCTGAATTTGGAACAAGTGGCCAGGTTCTCTTTTTTCCCATCTTCACTCAAACTCCTTGCAATTTTCTTTGGGCTGAGCCTTTCAGGGGAGAGGTATGGAAATAGAGGGTCAGTTCCTCAGGAGAACTTTGGGCCTGGGCAGTGGGTGCTGTGGGTCTCTGGGGGCTGTGCAGGCCCTGTGGCTGCTTGGGGCTCGGCTGTTGGCTGGACGGTGGTGTCAGCACGGTGGGATGCTGCTCCGCTTCACAATCTATCACTCGTATCTAGGGCTTGGTGGGGCGGCAGGAAGGGGCACACTGCTCTCTGACGGCCATGCGCAGGCTGTGTGCCTGGCCTTTGGGAGAGCGAGAGCACAGCACGGCGGGATCCTGGCAGGGCAACACTTAGGGCTGGGATTCTCCAAAGGTCCCTAAATTCCCAGGGCCCTAAGACTCTCAAGTTTGAGTGAAACTGTTTCAGAGATCTTGGGACCTTGTTCCTCATTCTTGGGTTCTCACAGGGTGAGTCCCAGGCTCATGCTGGCTTGGGTTGAGGGTGCTGGGGCCCTGTCCCCGATCGAGGCTCAAGCCCCGGAAGCAGGCCTGGCAAAGCACCGAGCTGCAGGTGAATGCTCCTAGGACTTATCTGCTGTTTCAAGAAGAGTACAGTGAAACAGAAATCTCTTTAGTTGGTGTGAACACAGTTTCTTCTCTGCAACTCTGTGTTTGCGTTCATGTTTGTATGTTTTGGAGAAGGAACCAGGAGCTACTTTTTCTACTTGGTTATGAAACTATAACAATGAACATAATATTGTCTAAGACATGGTCCAAAAAATTCCTCCATCTCTGGTGAAGCCAGAGAACATGGCCAAGAGTGAGATTGTCCTTTAGCTTTCGAAAGGACAGGCTTTAAGGAACATGTAAGCAGAGTCTCTCCAGCTGTTGGTTCAGGTCTGGTCCATGCTTAGAAGCAAAAATCAAGCATCAGAACCACTGGGAGTTCTGGGCAAATGACCTTAGAAGCACCAATGCCAACATTTGCACAAGGAACATAGGACTTTTATAAGGATGCGAGCAAATGAAGCAATCTCTAGAGAACTATAAAAATAGAAAAAAGAAAAAGTGCTAACTGGGACCTATAAGGTGAATTTGGATCCTTATCATGAACTTCTCTGTTCCAGATGATCAGCTGAACTCAGAGGAGAAGAAAAAGAGAAAGCAGCGGAGAAACAGGACAACCTTCAACAGCAGCCAGCTGCAGGCCTTGGAGCGTGTGTTTGAGCGGACGCACTACCCGGATGCCTTCGTGCGGGAAGACCTTGCGCGCCGTGTGAACCTCACCGAGGCCAGAGTGCAGGTAACGCCTGCTGTGGGTGGGTGGCAGCGAGCACCCCCGCAGCTGCACAACTGTCCAGACTGCTTAGTACCCATGTTGCAGCTTTCAGAACGAGCTGGTACGACTGAGGTTGCAAGTGGGCAGCACAAAGACAGATGCACGCTTTTACCTGTTTGCTTGGTATTTTTAAGAACCAGATGGAATGCATTTAGGTGGGGCAGCTTGGTATTTGCTCCAGGTCCACTCCTCCCTGGTGTCATTGACCCTTCCAGATTCACGTTACATACCCTGTCCATCTGAACATTTGACTCTGCACCCCAGCTTACAATTTGAGCATCAGTTTGGCCAAAGAGGTTAATTCTTCTCAGCTCAGCTCTCCTCCCCAGGCTTTGGGAATGTGCAAACCTTCCAGAAACTCGCTGTGAGTACACAGGGTTGTGCACAGCCTTGGAAGTGAGAAATGGAGGGCAAGGAAGTAAGAACACATTCAAGTAGGTGACTTTTACATCTTCCCCGTGTCCCAACAAGGACATGTAGACAGGGTAAGAGGGAGGAGCAGTTCTGAGCAGCATTCGTGTCATGACACACTGACTGCAGCCAGACATCCAGAAGACGATATGGCTGTGACTGTGTTCTTCAGCAGAGATGACAGTACAACACTGCGGGGTCCTTGCTGCTTAGTGCTCTTTGATCCCTAACCTCCACCTTAGTTCAATGATGTGGGCAGTCTTCTTTATCTTGCAGGTGAGGAAACGGAGGCAGAGAGAGGCTCAAGTCTTTTGCACAAAGTCGCATATCTAGGAGGTGGCTGAAAGAGGATCTGGATGCAGATACAGAGATCCAGAGTTATTTTTTTTTATACAACAGACGTGAATCAATGAGTCCCCTGCTTAAATGTCTTTTCAAGGGGTGCTTTGCCGTCTCTGCTGACAGAGCTTCTTGTCTTCCACATTGCCAGGGGCAAGCTGCTGTTTGTATCAGGAGGGGGGTCAGGTCTCTCGTCTTCCTGAAGGGACTGATGTTTATATATCGGTGTTCAGTCTGACTTTCAGGGATTTCTCTCTGTAAAGGATAAACCTCTAGACAGATGGGGACTTGAGCCACCTCCAGGGTCTTGACTGGGGCAGTGCTGTGTCTGTCACAAGGCACAAGACACGGTAACAGATGCTTGCTGAGTTGATTGGAGGTCCTGGAGGTCCCTCCAGGTTCCAGAGAAAGTGTGAGAGTTTTTCCAAGGGGGATCAGGGACCTCACCTCAAAAGATCTGCTCCCTAAGAGACAGGAAAAAAAATGTCAGTGACAAAAGAGGAAAGTTCACCCTGGCATGGTGACACTCTCCTAGAGCACAGGAGGCTAAGGCAGGAGGGCCGCAAATTTAAAGCCTTAAAAACTTAGCAAGACCCTGTCTCAAAAGAAAAAAAAAAGTGGTTAAGGATGTGGCTCAGTGGTTAAGTGCCCCTTGCTCACCTCTTTCCAGAGCAGCACTCCATGAAGGCTCCCTAGGGAGTGAAGGGCAAGTGCTTCTCCCCAAGGGAAAGTTTTATAGAATCCATGTGGCTCCTGAGGATAGTGAGGAGGTGTGAGTGAGGTGTGTAGTAACTGGTGGCAGTTCTCAGGGATCAAGTGAGAGTGACCACAGGGACATGGTTCAGTCCAGCTCTGCCCACCCCACCGTCCTGTGATGAACTATGATGTCCTCTTTCCTGCCCCCTCTTTCCCTAGCTGCTCATCACACAGTGCTCTCCAGTCCCTTCCGCTTTCCCGAACACCTGCCTCTCCATCCCTCTTATGCCCCAACCTCAGCCTGCAGTGGAGTCATGAAGAGCTTCAGGCCAGGAATCCACAGCTGCCATCAAGTCCCACGTTTGCTATGGTGCTCTGAATTTTACGGAAGGAAACCTGAATAGTGCAATGGGAGGAATTAAAAAAAAATGTGGAAGTCATGTTTGGGTTGGGAGATCATCTTATCCCTGTCACAATGGGCAATGCATGCAATATACACATTACGTATTATCTATAGATATTGACTCATATGATAAACAGAGGATGAGGTAAATGTGGATAGACGGACAGATATGGTGGAGCTATTTTTTCTTCCTCCTTTCCCACCTGCTACTTCCTAGTAACTTTCAGGGCTGTGAACATTCCCTAAGGGGAGGACAGAACTGTCCCTCCAGGACCATTCTAACTCCCTAGAGTTCAGCCCTTTCCCTGTCGGAGCCCGCCCTGACTCCAGGCGTCTTCATATTTAGGGCATTTATCATAACATCATGTGTGCTACACTGAGCTGTCTGTGGCCAGCTTCTTCCACTAGACGGTGGAGTCCTCTTGAGTGGAGGTCACGTTTTAGTCATCTTTGTAAAATTTGTGGGTTTTGGTTTTCATTTTTCTTTTCCTTCCCATTTTTTTCCCCTGAAACACTTATGGGGCACCAATTATACCATTGGACCTGCTTTTGGTTTGCTGGGTGAAGGAGACCCTGGCCTTTTCCCTGAAGGTGCTCTGGTCTGGGGCTGAGAAGACCCGAGGTGTGATCATAGTCTCGATGGTGTAAGGTGACTCCTGCACTAAAGGAGTGTACAGGAGTCAGCCATGGACCAGAGGCCATGGGGAAAGGGAGGGAATGTCCACTGACTAAGCACCCCCTCTGGGCCACTCTCATCATCCTGGAAGCAGGAACATTACAGCCAAGGAGCAGAGAGATTGAATAACTCTCCACGGTAAGTCTTGAACATAGTGTAGCCAGCATTGTTATTCATTTCTGTTGGACCTTAAAAGTCATCTTCCTTCCACTACAACTCTTCAGATGTTAAAGTTGAGTCTTAAAAAATATATGGGCTTTAGCAGCTGGAAGGAGAAGCATGTTGCAGGCAGAGGGGTGTCTGCTGCGATGACGGGGGGCGTAGAGAGCTGCTGGACCCATGCTGGAGTTAGATGGTGTGGCTTTGGGTGGACAAAGAACTAATTCCCGAACGGGCTTTGGATCTATGGCAAGGTTGTCATTTTATTCTGTCACGGGAGGCCAGTGGATGTTATCAATCAGGGCAAAGATACAGTTATATTGAATTTTAAATTGATAACTGTAATAGCAACAGGGAGAGAAGAAACAGAAGAGCCAGGTCCTGGAAGTCAGAGAAGGGATGTTCAAACCTTTGTGGATTCCCACTCTGGCCCCCTGTGTTACCTGACTCTGGGGCAACAGTCCCATGATGCTTGGGGTGCATGTTGCCCAGAGCCGTGCAGCTGCCTCTCCGCGTGCTGAATCCCTCCCCAACGCCTCGCCAGTGTTTCTATAATTGCACCTAGATTATTTATTTTGTGGTTTTCCATGCATACTCCTCTTCCTCTGTAGACTGTGAGCTGCTCGAGAGCAGAGAGCACGCCTTGCTCGCCCCTTTCCAGAGCAGCACTCTACGAAGGCTCCCTAGTGAGTGAAGGAGCAAGTGCAGTTCATTGCCTGGAAGGGCTGGGCAGCATGAGGTGGACATCCTTGACCTAACTCAGCCATCGGGCTGGGGCTGCAGCTCTGGGGGAAGAGCACCTGTCTTACAAATGCAAGGCCCTGGGTTCCATCCCTCACTGCAAACAAGAAACAACAAGCAAAAGCAAACACCCTCACCCACCCAAACACAACAAAACAGAAAAAAAAGGACCTTAGCTATTTATTATTTGTGTGAACTTCAATAGCTTAAGCTCATTGAACCTGTTTCCTTAACTTGAAAATAGAAATAACAGAACATTATTTGGAATTGTCATGTATGTAATGTGCCCCTCCATGTTCCCAGTCCTGGCAGTGCTTAATGCACAAGTTTATTATGCTGTAATAATCCTCAAACCCTACAGATAAACGTAGTCCAGCCAGCTTCTGATGTGTAGCATCCGCATTTCCTTCCAGAACCTCAAGAGACCTCCTTGCCTGTGTTTGGTATGTCAGAAGTGCTGGGATGTTAGTAACTAATGATTGACAGCAGCCAGGGTACAAGCCCCCGGCTCCCTGGCCCCTGCAGGGGGATGACAGAATGTGTGCCACGGTGGCCGGAGTCCACAGGGGCTTGGCGACGCTCTCTGCAGTGCTTGCTCCTCTGCCTCTCACTTCCCCAGTGGAGTTCCTTACACCTTGAAAACAAACCATTTGCTTCTTCAATCCTCGTCAGAGTGTTTGGAGAAATAGATACTTTGCTTTAAACACCTAGTAATGTGAAAGGAGATGACATTTTCACATTTTGAAGAATTTTGAAAAAGTTTTTAGTGAAGTCATTGTATCCGTGGCGGAGGTCTAACGAGATTTTTCCTCTTTTTCTTGATTACAATTATGATAGGAATGATGCCCACATTCTGCTGTGTGATGAGTCAGTCACAGAGCCTGTCTCAGGAGTCCAGATTACTGGAAGAACTTCGTGTGTGTGTGTGTGTGTGTGTGTGTGTGTGTGCGCGCGTGCGTGCTGGGGATAGAACCCAGGGCTACATGCATGCTAAGCCCACACTCTACCACGAGCTGCACCCCAGCCCCACCAGCCCATAGTCCTAACCCTTGAGAGCCGTAGGCAGGCCCCGCCAGGGGAGGACTAGGGCATGTTCTTTCCTGAGAGGAATCCAGACCCATGCTGCATCTTCTTTGGGAAGGCTTCACACCGTGCATTCACATGATCTCTTCCTTGTGTCTCCTCCCCCTCCTCACGGCCTTCTCTCCTCCCAACCCTCTTCCAGGTGTGGTTTCAGAACAGAAGAGCCAAGTTCCGCAGGAACGAGAGAGCCATGCTGGCCAACAAAAATGCTTCCCTCCTCAAATCCTACTCAGGAGACGTGAGTGCCGTGGAGCAGCCCATCGTCCCTCGTCCTGCTCCGAGACCCACCGACTATCTCTCCTGGGGGACAGCATCCCCATACAGGTGAATGACTCACCCGCCCTCCCTTGCTCCACCTCCACACGCTCCTCAGCCATCCGTCATGCTCAAAGCTGCGTGTGCTGACATTTCTTACCGGGTTACCCTCTTCAGAGACACTCAACTTGCTGACATCCCCAGAGTTTCACAGGACATTACTAGTTGCCCCAGGAGCAGGGTTTGGGGCAGAAGAGAGAGAGGGGCAGGCCCTCAGCAATCTCCTCTTGGACTCAGGAACTCTTGCAAAGGTTTCAAAGATGGGGAAGAATCTAAAAGAAAAGACCGATATTAAGCTGTGCTCACTGTCCCTTTTTGCAGCCGTTCTGGAACAGAACTACCCCATTTCTAAACTTCAGATAGGGTTATTTCATTATGCTCAAGTAGGGAGTCAACATGTGAGGCTTCACAGTGAAACTGATCTTGAATTAAAAGAAAAGAAAGAAAGGAGGGAGGAAGGGAAGAAGGGAGATGGGAAGGAGGGAGGGAGGAGACAGCGACACCCACACAAGGAAAGGAGAGCTAAGCTCATTCCCATCACTTTGGAGACTCAGTCCTCACCAGTTAGTAGGGGAAATTTCTTAGGATCCCAGACGCTTTCCTATTCTGTCGCCAATTCTGACCTACTTATCTGGAGATTTCTTTGGGGGTCAGTTGTGTGTGTGTGTGTGTGTGTGTGTGTGAGAGAGAGAGAGAGAGAGAGAGAGAGAGAGGGTACGCGCACTTGTGCATGTGCACATGTGTGTATGTTTTGCATAAAAAAGATTGTATAATTTACACTAAACTTTTATATTAAAAAGGTGACATTTTTTGAAGAAGCAAGTGGCAGAGTGCTGTTTCCACCTCATTGAGACTTTGAACCTCAGTTCATTGTGCTGTTCAGAACACACTGCTGATGGCAGAAGGCAAACTGAGACACTGTGCTCAGCACCCTATGGCCAGTCCAGGGTGCCTGTCTTTAAACCTAGACCTGAGCATTCTAAGAAACCAGGTCAAGGCTGCATGTTCTCTTCTGCTGATTTCAATGGAAGAAGTATTCGCAAATTCACTTATTGTGCTTTTTTTTTTTAAATCTTTTTATTGTCAAGTTCATTATGGGCTTAAGGACAAGCTTTAGACTAACAGAGTATGTCCTGGCAGAAACCTAGCCCCTGAAGTGAAAAGCCACATTCATGAAATGCCCATGCTTTCCAAATTTATAGCTCTAATTCAAGCCCAGAGCCTCACCTAAATGTTCTTTCTATACCAAATCAGTTCTTGAGAGAAACACCATAAGTGCATTTGGGAATGTCTTTTATATTCCTTGTTGTAAAATTAACCTGAATTAATTCTGGTCTTCGTACATGGAGACCCCGCGTATAGGAAGTCCTATTCTTGGACCCCATTACTCTCAGCCTTGCTGATTTTGAAAGATCAATTATATCTGTGTGTCCTATTTAAAATGTAGACCCTTCTTCTGTAGGATTTACTAAAAATACATTTGAGGACCATTGTGACATCACATATTCTTTAATATTTCTTTTATGAGTACTGGTAGTTCACAGACTCCCTAAATAGCCTGTGGAATGGTCTAGTTCAAAGCCTGAGGCCTCAAGATCTTGGGTGTGAATCTGGTGGTAACTGGGAAGCATTGCTTCTCCTTTCTGCCTGCGTCCTCCTTAGGGTCCTTGCCAGGGAGAAGCTGAGCGCAGACCCCTGCTCGTGGGGACGAAGTCCTCCGGAACTAGTGTCGGGTTAGACACTGGCCACAGCAGAAGCCAAGCCTCAGTGCCCACACCACCGGCATTTTGTAGATGATCATCAAACTGAAGCTATTAACGTGGCAAGTCATGTGTGCCTTTTTTGGAAAAATTCTATTTTAGCTAAAAAGATGATGAAGAAAATCTAGAGATGTTTTCAAAAGACCATACTTGTATCATCTTGATATAGCTAGTTTGTTCATTTCTGCAATTAGAGCTCAATATTTTATATAGTGTAGGCTTAGTGTACATATTATTTTGTATTCTGCTCTTTTCACTTAAGATCATATAACCTACTACTTCTTACTCATTTCATCGTGTGCTTTTATATCACTTCTCCCTTAGATACAAGAGTTTGTAAAAATTAAAACAGTATTATAGAACCTGATAGTTCATATTCTGTATGAAGAATAAATTAATCTCCAAATTTAAGTAGAAAAGTGATGGTTTAATGCAGTAAATTAATATGTTTTTTTTGCCCTAATGTTGTCTGAAGTGTTTATAGTTTGTTTAATTTTTAAAAGTGGCCAAACCCATTTTGCTACCTGGAGGTCTTCTTGCTGTTTAGAATAAAATATGTCATGATTTCACAGTTCAAATCTTGCTAGGAAACATGACTGTTGTTAAAGAAATACAGAAGAAAAACAAGTGATGAAAAGCCGAGGAATCAATAGACATTTTGTGTTATGGAAAATTCACTCGCTATTTCTTTTGGTCCTTATGTCAAGTTAGTGACATTCATTAAAAAGCATTTGTCTTGGTTAATCTTTGGGACATTCCTGTGTGATAACTCTGTCCTTGCTGCAGTTCCAAAGAAGAGGAGGCTGAACACTTGCCCAAGTTTAAGTCTTCAGGAAACAGTGAGAACCCGTGCTTGTGGTCCCTGTTTCTGTCCCACACCTTAGGACACATGACTATTCTCATTCAAATTGAACCTGCAGTGTATTGGACGCAGCAAATTGGACTGTTGAAACCGTTGTTTTGAGGCAAGGTCTGTCTCAGATGGGTGTATGGGCACTCCACGGGATAAGCCCTGTGGCTTGCTCCTGCAACCTGGGGACTATGAGCAGACAGTTTTGCCAGAGAGCAGCTGGCTGACTTCCAGGGCTCTTCCCTGAGAGGAGAGGAGGAAGCCAAGGCACAGAACAGTTACTCTCTAACGCTCAGAACTCTGGACTGGGGAAGAGCCAATGAGTCTTTTTCCTGGCTGTCATTTGCAGTCAGACTGGTGGCTGTATACCTTGTCATCCAAACTGGGACACTTTTGAAAGTGAAAGGGAACTGGTATTGATAATTTCCATAGGATGGCGGGCATAAACTGGGCTTGTCCGTGCCAAACTGAGACACATGGTTTACTCCAAGGCATGTCATGGACTTGTTCGTTCCTTGAGCGTTTTACAGGAGATGACAGGCAGGACTTGAGTCACCAGAGGAAGCAAAGCATTCCCGAACATGGATGCTTCTTTCTGGCAGGTGTCTTCTTTATTTCCCTGGGGTCAGCTGAAGGAAGCTTTCTGGAACACATACCCACCGCTTAGCTCAGGACAGTTATGAGAACGACCCCACGCACAGGCCCTGCGGCTGCGAGGACTCGCTGGTAGAGCGCTTTGCCTCTTGGGTAGCAGTGACCAGCCAGCTCTTGGACTGCCGAATGTTTTTTGAGATGAAATAGCTAAGACACCCTTCCCCAGAGACCTCAGTTCCTGTGAGAGCAGAGAGCTGGCCCAGCTCTGCAGCCCTGGCCCAGAGTGCTGCTTGCGGAGGGAGGGCTAGACGAAAGCACCAGGGCAGAGCTCCCTCCCCTTCCTCATCCCCGTCACTTGGTGGTGGTCCTGGTGCGGCCTGACATCTGCTGAACACCTTGGCTCATTTCTCGCTTTCACACTTTCAAACATAGATCCTCGTCCCTCCCAAGATGTTGTTTACACGAGGGGCTTCATAACGGATTCTAACGGAAGACACTGAAAAGGTAACTTGTCAGAGGGGGAAGAGGGTGGCTGCTGGGGGTAGGGCTGAAGGGGAAGCTAAGTGTGTTTAAGAAAGTGGGGGTTCAACTCCTGGAGATGTGAGCGGTGAGGTCCTACAGCGGGGACTGTGGTGAGCATCAGAGCTACCGGAGAACCTGTCCTCAAACCTAAGGGTGGCGTGAGTTGAGAGCACCACTCCTCACATGTGGCTATGCCTGGGACTCGCCTGGGACCCCGTACCTGGAGACTGGGGTCCACTAAGCCTAGGGTGGGCCTGAGATTCTGCATCTGCAAGTTGTTCCACTCCAGGATGATGGAAGTGCTGTCCACACACAGGACAGGCCTTACAGAGTGAGGCGTCAGGTGACTGACTGTAGGGTATGCCCCAGCAGTCAGAAGAACTAAGTTCTCATCCTGGCTCCTGGCAGATCATTGACTTCTCATGTAAGCTTGTATCAAAACTGATCCACTAGTTTCCCTATTGCATACGAAAAAGAAATATCAAAAAAAAAAATCTCTACAATAGAAAGATGCAAAGCATCCACATGCCAATATTTGCATATTTGTGTATCAGACATTTCTAGAAAGAAAAGGGAAAGCTTGCAGAAATATGACTAAACATGTAGTACACCCTGAAGACTGGCTGATGAAATGTGGTCCAGGCGTGTCCAACTTGTAAGAGCTAAGTATACACCAAAAAGCAACCTCTGAATTTCAAAAAACAGAAGTTGCAAGTGATTGTTAAGTTCTCATAAGAACGTTTCCAACAGGATGTAAGGGCTGTCACTTCAATAGTAAGTTTCCCGAGGAAAACCAGTATTGAATTTTCTTAGATGGAGCCTCCACTGTTCTTGTACTGCAAAGAACGCACCAAAGAGGCGGCCTCTGCCCTCTAGACCACAGAGCCTGCGAAACTGAAGGCTCTGCAGCCTTTGAAAAGCTAAGTCCCCGCAGAGGAAACCTAGATTCCCGGGAAGACCCACAGACTTCTTAGGCTGACAGATTTGTCTTTGGAGTAAAAATTTAAACAGCTTGTCATCGTTTGTTCTTTGTTCAGCTAGAAGGCCACGTTAAAGTTGAAAACATAGTCAAGTGCTATTGTTTCCCAAGCCATCCTCAACTGTTTTGTGATTTGTAGGGTTTACACTACGGGTGGCGAGAAAGCAGAGGGAAAGATGTCCCTGAGTCTCCTGGCTTTGAGATCGTGCCATGAGTGGGCTGCTGGGGGCCTCCTGGGTGTCTGGCAGTTAGTTCAACACATTTTCCCTCACTACAGCCTTTCGGAGCAGTTCGATGGATCATGAATGATCCGTCCCCAGTGAAAACCGTCCTTCAACCCTGAGGGCGGGGTTGGCATTGTGCTGCCTGTAGCTGGGCCACATCTGCTAGAAATCTCCAAATAAGGAGATGGAAACATTCCAAGCCCACTTCAACGTGTCAGCTCCGTGGAAGTCCCAGCACCCCCTGTTGAGTCAACAGACGGGAATCAGCCCTTCTTTTCCATCTCCAGTGTTTCCATGCACATTATTCCAGTGAAGTCCTTTCTTGGTCACAAATACAGAGACCTTTACTAGAACTTAAGTAGAAATGGGCTTTAGCTAAACCCTATAAAATCAGGGCCAGGAATCAGCTCGAATTGCACTCTGCCTTACTCAGAAGGTAAGCCCCGCTGGTAGGAAGCTGGCTCTCTGTTGTCTTATGCTTAACCTACGATGGACATCAGTTTCAGTCTTACCTGTTGACCCTAGGAGTTTTGATAGGAAGGAATGGTCATTTCACATAATCTGAATGGCCTCATAAATTGGTTGAAAGCAGCTAATTGCCCTGACAGCTCTCTCTCTCTTGCAAGATGATGTTTCAGTGTTCTTTCTTCTCCTGAAGCAGAGCCTTAGGAGTTTCCATGACATACGACAGGTGGTCACCAACAGTGTCTCAGATTGGCAGCCATGCAAGGCTCTCTTGCATCTGCTCTCCCTTTAGGAAGCAAGTCCTCTCCCTTGGCCACTGCCATGCTTAACGTGCATCTAGGCTGCTCCTTGAACACCCACTCAGCAATTCGTCTTTTCTGACCTGTGACAAGTTGTGTCCATCACTGGTATGTTGAAGAACCACCCACTGTCTGCCTGTAAAGCACATATGGAATTGTAAGCCTAGACCCAGTGGAACTACTATAGGGAAGAGAGGCAATTCCTCAATACGTGTGCAAAATAACACTGTGGTCTCTATTTGAAGGATGATACATTCTAAACATCAGTTAAGAGGCTGGGATGAAGGTGACCTCTTTTCTTTTATCCTACCAATCCTATCCAGATTGGTTTCTTCGACATTTACAATTTTTCTAAAAATTACAAGTGAAATGTTATCCCTTCTGAAGCTTCGAGGGAATCACAAAACCCATTCATTAATATAAACAGCTTTGTTCTCCTCACACCCCACTAATGGGAGGATTCCTATACAGACTCGCCCCTACTGTGGTGTTCCTATGATGGCACCACCATACCACTGGGCAGGCCACTGTTCTCTACTGCAGAAGCGCAGGCTGCATCATTCAAGAGACAAAGTCTTGGGAGCATCCTGTGCAATACATGATCCTAATTCCCTACTAATTCATCTTTGAGTAAAAAAGTGGGTCAACATTCCTCTGAGTTTGGATTTTATAGTCTGGCCTGCATTAGAGAGAAAAACTCAGTATTTCTAAGAAATGTGCTACCTTTTAAGTCCCAGACTAGAATCCCTAATGTCACAGGTAGTAGATTGTGGAGTAATGAGCAAAACTGGCACAGAGTAGACAAAACTTCAGTCACTGCTACTGCAGACATTTCTGGAAAACAGTGGAAACAACTCCAGTAAACTACCGTAATCTCCCAAGGTCGCAGTTTGCTTTGTCTGCCAAGAAATAGAAAGGGTGAATTGCTGTTAAGTAGGACTTTGCTTGTCTAGACTCTCAAAGAACGGAAAACACATCTCCAGAATTCGGCCAAGTCCTCCATGGCTGTCTGCACTTTGCCACCAGAGCTCATCTCCATGTTCTGTCATAAAGTTTTACCATGTGTGGTCAGAGGCCATTCAATTCCACCCTCAGTACTTTCCAAATGATGCAGATACCCTGTAAGTCCAGCTTCTCCCTGTGTATTTAAAATGGCACCTTCTATGTATAATCTTCAGTGCTTTATTCTCTCATACTCCTGGTTGGGAAAGGCTAATTTGGCTGATTTTATAATAATCCATGATTTAGATATATTTCCCAAATCCACTCATCTCTTCGGTCTTTGGTGTGTCCGAGAAATTCCTTGACAATGGGTTTTATGGATTTGCATATATTTCTGGCAGAATCTTGAGTGGAAACATGTAATCAGTCTAGAAACTAAATGATGGTATGTGTATGAGTTTTGAAAATAAATGGCATTTCTTGGTGCATTGTTAAAAAAAAAAACCTTTCCCTATCTTAATGGGTTATTCTGGTCATTTGTTTCACTCCTAATTAATCCCACTTTAACTGGAGACTCTTCTGCCCGTGCCCTTTGGTGGAGAGTGGGGAAGTGATAGTCTGTCTCAACTGTATGAATATTGGTTTAGTTTTACTGTGAGAAGATATTTTTGTGTATCCCAGAATATGCAGTGACCATCCCCTTTTGCCATGTCCTTCTGACTTCGTTTTTTCCATTAGGAGAGCGAAATTTACAGCAAGGATGACTTCTAAAGAGTGAAAGCACATTGGTCAGATTAGTTTTTAAGAAATCATCACTCATAGCAGGATGACAGAAACCAGTGATAGTGATCAGGAATCGGTTAAATTGTAGCCCATCTGCATACATCTCACTCGTCTCTTCACTAAATAGTTTACTGAGTGCCTAGTGTGTATGAGGGGCTGGTCAGCTCTACCAAAGGATCCAGTTGTGAACCGGCAGAGGTGGTGTCTGGTTCGTGGAACTTACAGCTGAGAACAGTGATAGATGATGGAGAATTAAATTAAGTGGGGCTGGGGCAGTGCCACAGTGGTAGAGCACTTGCCTTGCCCACATGAGGCATTGGGTTCGATCTTCAGGACCACATAAAAATAAATAAATAAAGATATTGTGTCCATCTACAACTAAAATAATATTTTTTTAAAAAATTAAATGAAGTGATAAAAGCAGAGTGTAGGGTGCTATAGGAGGACCTGCCTTGAAGTAGCAGGGAGAGCATCCCGCAGGGGCACTGGGTAAGAATGAGCGGGCAAAATGAGGAAAGGCAGCAGGCCTGGTGGCACACACCTGTGATCCCAGCAGCTCCCGAGGCCGAGGCAGGAGGTTCGCATGTTCAAAGCCAGCCTCAGCAACTTAGCAAGAACCTGTCTCAAAATGAAAAATAAAATGGCTGGCATGTGGCTCAATGATTTAGTGCCCCTGGATTCAATCCCCAGTACCAAAAAGAAAAGAAAAGAAAGAAAGAAAGAAAAGAGGAGGGGGAGGAAGTGAGGGAGGCAAGACTCTGTAACCCTTCTGAGTCTTCTGTCTGTCGTGCACACACACACAGTCTCTGTCACACACACACACACACACACACACACACACACACACTTGCTCACACGCTTTATACCCGTGCGGCAAGCTGAAGATTTGTATTTCTGGAGAGAGGGAGTGATCCGTAACCTTCTATATTTCTTTATCTCCATTTTCCTGGGCTAATTGCTAGTCACCAAGTTGAACTAGGCTACGATAAGTCTGGGCTGTTCGGGAGAGGTGTCAGGGATCTGTCCTTCTTGTAGAGCAGCTTCAGTTTTCTCTCTTTCTGATCTTGTCACTTGATCCCAGAGCCACAGGCTCCTGTGTGGCTGACAAATTCCACTGGAATGCAGGCCCCAGAAAAGCACCTGTCATTCCATTTATAAGTCTGTCTATCCACCCCGCAGTTGAAAAGGATTTTGCAATCTTAGAAACATTTTCATTTAGTTAAAATTAGTCTTCTTTTATCCATTCAGTATAAAGGAAACAATCCGAGTACAATTCTACAACACCATTTCTTTTTTCCTTAAAAGAGATTCATGGATGCAGTGATCAGAAACCCACCAAGACAGGGGCTGGGGCTGGGCTCAGCGGTAGCGTGCTTGCCTGGCGTGTGTGAGGCACTGGGTTAGATTCTCAGCAGCACATATAAAGAAATAAAGTAAAATTTTTAAAAGAAAGAAATCCCCGAATGACAATTTTATGCCCAGTTCTTGGTCCTAAGATCAGTCTTTGACAATGACAACGTCAAGTTTTTGTCGGCAATATTGACCGTGAGAAACAGTTATCTCTAAGGTCAAGGGTGCTGAAACTGGAGCCTTTGATACTTTATTTTGGAAATTTAGACATTTCCAAAATAATTGAGCCAAAAGCAGCGTGTGCTCCGCAGGAAGTTTTGGGGAGAGGTCAGGACATTGAGGCCAGTCAATAGGCACCTCTTGATTCACAATGCCGGTATTATCAACCAGGGAATCAAGAAGGACTGGGAAGTTCAACTGGGGTGCTAACTGATTCTCTGAGCACATTACTTCTCATGGTATTTATCAATTACCTAAAATGTGTTAGAATTACAGCTATTTAGAGTGAAGCAGCAAATTTTCCTTTAGTTTTTTTGTCCCAAACTTGCATTTCTGCATCACCCGTCCCATGGGCTAGGGAATGGAGGCAGGGAGATTAAATGCTGTTTTAATTAGTCAGCTGATAAAGCACCTGCTGCTCAATTTGGGCAGCTCTCGTCTGTCACCCCAGAAATAAATCATTACTCACTGTACCCAACACAGCAAGTGCCCCTCCCTCCCTGGGTCTCAATCTCCTCTGCTTTCTCCTGCCCTGAAAAACACAGCCACCTCCCCAAGTGCCTTAGGCTAATGGAAAGCCCCAGCTGGGAGAGACCTAGCGGTCACCTAGTCCAACCCCTGCCCTGCCCTGCCTGGCCCTGCCCTGCCTGGCCCCGTCCTGAGAGTGCACCCACCCGGGGCCTGGACTTGCAGCTTCATGAAACTAATGCCTGTTATTCTCCCTGCTTTCTCCTTTGTCCCCACAGCGCCATGGCTACTTATTCTGCCACATGTGCCAACAATAGCCCTGCTCAGGGCATCAACATGGCCAACAGCATTGCCAACCTGAGACTGAAGGCCAAGGAATATAGTTTACAGAGGAACCAAGTGCCAACAGTCAACTGAGGAAAAAAAAATTAAACAGGCCTAAGAAGAAATCAAAAACCATAAGACACCTATCCTGCTCTGTCATTTCTTCATCCGCTGGGAAAAAAAAGTAAAAACAATCAAACAAACAGAACTAACATATTGGGACCATGGCAGAGAAAAGCAGGAGAGGAGCAAAATGAAAATTAGTTAACAAATGTTCCTCCTCCCTCTGGAATTCCACCACCATTTGTTTCTGTGTGTTTATTTTATTTTTCTTTCTATTCATGCTTTGATTAATATACTCCAAGCTTCTTCGGTTAGGGTCAGCCCACCCACTCCCATAATCCTGAGAGGTTTTGAAAAGGTCTGCGGCAGCCACAAAGCCATGTACACACAGGCTCAGAGAGATGCCCCAGGCCTTGTCACCAACCTGTGAGAACCTCAGTGCCTTACTCTGAGCTCCTCCCACTTCTCTCCAGGAGCTTTTGCAAAGCCAAAGTCTTTCTGAAGATCTGTGCCTCCCATGATTCCCTTTTCACTCTCTCTCTTTGTCTGTCGGTTATGGTAAGGTTTTCTTCCGCCAGCTGCTGGAAACAAAAATTGTGTACAAGTTTGGTCTCTGGTCTGTCTGATCAGCGTGGCTGGCTGTGGCTGGCTGTGGCTGGCTGTGGCTGGCTCACTCTAAGCTCTCCATTCTAGGTCTGAGCTCTAAGCTATGCACCATAATATCACCAGCAACACCACCCTGCCCCATTTAGACAATCAGTCATCTTGAGTTAAAGTTATTTGTTGTCACAGGCTGTTTGGTAGAGGAAATATGTTCACTGAGAGGGAGAGAAATTTCTCTAGGAAAACAAAGACGGAATTGTGAAAGACATGGCCTACTTCTCTTTGGTGCCTTAAGGGTAGTCAGATGTGCACTTATATATATATACTGTACATATTTATATATATATATATATATAAAATATTGCAAGCTTGAGTCTGTAGTTTTTCAAATTCTACAGGAAGCAAATTTCACACCATCACCACAGTCCTGATCTCTGCAGTGATGAGACATTAGTAAGGGATCTTGCTTCTTTTCTTATATTCTACACAGAATTCTCATTAAGGCCACGCAGCAATTGGCAGGGCAGTTGTTTGAGAACAGTGTCGTTTTTGCATTAGGGCTTTAAATGAATTACAAATTATTTGAGAGAACAAAGATGTCCTTGAATTTGGAGCTGGGGCTCTGGTTGAATGCTGATATATTCTATCATGGGAATTATACTTAGAGGAGGAAAAGATAGTCATCTGCTTTCTCCACTCAACAGAAATATGAAAGACAGGACACATGTTTTAAGTGGAATATTTAAAGGTTTGTCTAAATTCCAAAAACTTTAAAGGCAATTGTGGACTTTTTTTTTTCCTTAGTGTTTTGAAGTAAAGTTTAGCATCTAGGGTTAGGAGCCAAGACTGATCCCTATTTCTTTCTCTCTGTTTCCAGCCTTGCTTTTTTAACTTGCCAGGTGGACTTGACCCAACCTTATTGCCATGCTGTGCCTCAGTTTGCCTGTTTATAAAATGGGTTTAGCAATACCTCCCTACCTCACAGGGGTGTTGTGAGGCTCTATTCCTGTGCTCCTTTAAAGATTTCTGTGTTCTCTGCATGTCCAGCACTCTAGCCTTGGGAGGAAGAGGACTATAAAAGTGTACAGTGTTCATGGAGTGGTGCCATACCAGGAAGCCTTATTCTCTAGCAAGGAGATGGCTCCCTTGCTGTACATACGTAAAGCTTTGTATTTGGAAGCAAGAAACAGGTTTATATTTTTAGATGTCTGAGAAATCACACCATTTGACCAAAGAATAATTTAAGACATGCAAAATAGACATATATTAACTTATATTCTTATCCTGGCCAGCTTGATTCTAATACATTTAGTTACCTGTGATTAGAAATCTTTAGATTGATTTTGGCCAAATATGCCAACTGTGCATGATAAGTGACAGGCAAGAACTTTGGGTGTAAGATGCACTTTTAGCAAACATTTGTATTTCCCTTGGCATATCAGATTGAGCTAATGGTGATATTTTTTCCCAGACTAACAGCCACTCATCTCAAAATGTATTTCAAATGTCTATTCTGTACTTCTTCCAATAATAAGAAGAAAGCCCATCTTAGGCATTTTGCTTTCACAAACTGGTCCCCTCTCCCTTTAACCCACTATGAAAACATTTCTTAGAGAATGGTTCACGTAGGTTGGCTGGACAATTCACATTACTTGCTTCTGAGGAATCTCTTGACTCATTCTTCTGTCCCATGCATTTCTGTGGATTACTGCGTTTCAAAGGAATAGTATGACCTTACAGATGGAAACATTATTTGATTTGTGAAGTGAGTGCAATCCAAAAAATTGATGAATTTGAGGGGTCTGGAGTTTGGAGAGAATAGCTAAAGGAGGATTTGGGTTATAGGTAAAGAACAGAAGTCATGCATGGAAAGGGGAGACGCTTAGAAAAGACAGTTACGTAAAACAAAATCTTTTGAAACCTTCATCCTGACATACATTTCCAGTGGTCTACAGTAAATCCTGGCCCCATAAACCCAAACGGTGGGGGAAACTGGGAGGTTCTGACACCTTAGACAAGCCATTTCTGGGAATTGGAAGTGATTGGTGCCGGTCAGGCATGGGACTGCCCATTGGTAGTAAACCAACACTACAAGCATCCATTATTTGAGCACTTGATCAAGAAGTAAACCATCTAGTACCAGCACTCGATTTACTATTGATTTTTTTTGAAAACAAGTTTGCTGTGTGATTTGGAGAAGTAGCTTCTGGCTGTTAAACCAGTTTTCAGAAGAAGGTCTCAGGGCCAGACCTCAAGGCCTGGTCATGCCCAGACAGAGATGAGCACCATGAGCTGTTGCCCCACCCCCCTTCCAAACAGGATGCTGATGTGTAGGGTAGTCGTCGGCAGGTTAAATTAAATCAGAAGAAGAAACCTAATAAAAAAAGGAATGACATAATGGTATAAAGATCTCTTAAGAAATGTAATATGTAAATTATATCTTGCTTTATGATGTAAAATATACATTGTTTGCGCTAGAATAGAAATGTTTCCTTTTCAATAAAATGAAAGAAGGATATTTCAGTGTCTTTTGTTATGTACATTAGAGGCTGCTGATTCTTTTCTTTCTGAACTTCAAAAATACCTATCTGCTAAGATCTAAAATCACATTCAGAAGAGGTAAGAAGCTAAGAAGTGCTGATAAACAAGAGAACTTTTATCAGAGTATGATATTATTTCCTATAAAAGGGGGAAATCATGTGTTATTCTTCAAAGACAAAGACAATGGTGGGAGGAACTGGGTAGGTATGGAGCAAACCTTTTGTGAGAGTCCAGCAAGCTTTACCAACACGTTTAGCACCCACACTACTTGATTCTATGTGACAAAAATACTTTGTATAGAGCACAGCCTTTTAATTTAGAACAAAGAATTAGCACAAGAAAAAGCTTTAAAGTTGTACCTAGCCCAGGCTGGGCGGTCCAGGGGAGAACAGAGGGTTGCATATGTGGCACAAGTTCTGCTTTTCAAAACAATTAAAATCTAATTTAAAGGCAGCTCTGGCAAAGACAAGGTTATACAACTGCATAAGACAAGTGTCAAACAGAGCCAACAGAAGTTTCCAGAAGATGAGGAAAGAAAACATGGTGAACTGAAGAGGAAGAAAGGTTTCCTTGGGGATCTGGGGCTTGAGATCCATTGTTAAGAACTTGGGGGGGAGGAGAGGGGGTCTGGGGAGTGGAGAAGAGGGAATCAGGGCAGGGACACAGGAAGGAAGAGTTTGGATTTAGGGCGAGATGGGCCTGGACAGGACAGAGAGCCTGTTTTAAAGCAGAACAGGAAAAAACACTGAAGACTGATGCAGAGCATTCGTCACCAGACAAGGGATTTCCTCAGGCCACAGACATCCATGGAAGGTTTTTAAGTAGGAAAAAAAAAAGCCATGCAAAAATTCAGCAATTTATCAGGGTTGGGTGATTCTTATGAAAGAATGAAAGTGGAGCAGAATAGGACCTGGGAACAGGGTAGGCAGAGATTGCCGCAGGGGCCCGAAAACACCTTGCAAGAAAAGAATGAAGAGGGCTTGTGGGGCAGTAAGAGCACAGACAGCGCTGGTCTGAGAGCTGGTGACTAGGAGAAGGAGTCACTGGTAACTCCGGCAGAGCCCAGCAAAACGAGGGGAGACCCAGTGTCAGGGAACACTCCAAATATAAGTACTCTGTCAACACTGTCAATGCAGGAAATAGGTCTTGATACCAAGGTCAAGGATGGAGGTAGAAGTTTGAGACTCATTTTTTAAGGATGTGACATTTGGAGGTACAAAAGTGAATGGGTTCTTCAAGATGAGAGAGCGCCATGTGACTCAAATGATCAATCCCAATTAGTGGATGTTGGAAGTAGCTTCAGCCCCAAGAGTCAGGTTGAACTCTGAAGAATGTCTATAATTGGGCAGAGGGTTACAGAAGTCAAAGGAGCTGTTTGAGAAATAGAGGAAGATCAAACTTTTCCTTTAATATTCCAGAGTTAAGAAAAGAAAGGTTTCCAAAAGGGGGAATGTTTAATGCATCCAAATGCTACGGAGCAGACCAGCCAACTGGGAATGAGAGCAAGGCCATTGGATTAGTGACTCTCATGAGACCAGTTCAATACAATGTTGGAGGGAGAACGTTGATTTAGCAAATTACGGTAAGAATAAGTGCTTTGAAACAATGAGAGCCACAGCTACTGACCACTTGCAGGACACTGAAGGGATAAGGATTCTTTCAGCTGCAGGTGGCAGAAACTCACCCAACTAGATAAAGATCACAGAGAGGGTTTATGAGAAGGGCAGCTCACAGCCCAGAAGGTCTGCTGGAGTCAGAGAGGACCAGGGATCCTGGACACTGCCACAAAGCCCACGCTTTGTCCTGGTCTGGTTGGCTGCTCTACCAAGATGCAGCATAGACACAACAGACATTCGCATCTCACGGCTCTGCAGGCTGGAGGGCCCGACGGTGAAGCTCTTCTTCCTGGGCCGGCTGTCCACTTCTGCAGCCTCCTGTGGTGGAGAAAGTG